CCCCAGCCGGCGCCCGCGACGGCCGTTTCTACGTCGTCACCGACCCGCGAGACGACGACCCTGTCAACCCCAAACCGGGAACTCTCCGCCACGCCGTCGTCCAGGACCGACCGCTATGGATCGTGTTCAATCGCGACATGGTGATCCAGCTGAAGCAGGAGCTCATCGTCAACAGCTTCAAGACCATTGACGGTCGTGGAGCCAACGTCCACATCGCCAACGGAGGGTGCGTCACGATTCAGTACGTTACGAATGTGATCATCCATGGGTTGCATATCCATGACTGTAAACCCACCGGTAACGCCATGGTGAGAAGCTCCGAGACGCATTTCGGGTGGAGGACGATGGCCGACGGTGACGCCATTTCCATTTTCGGATCGAGCCATATCTGGGTTGACCACAATTCTCTGTCTCATTGCGCTGACGGGCTTGTCGACGCTGTCATGGGCTCCACTGCCATCACCATATCTAACAACCACTTCGCCCACCACAACGAGGTTCGTTCCCACTGTCCTGAATCCGGTATCTGATCGTAAAGCTTAACCTTAAACATGATCTGTTCTGTTCTTTTTAGGTGATGTTGCTTGGACATAGCGACTCATACACAAGGGACAAAGCTATGCAAGTGACCATTGCTTACAATCATTTCGGTGTCGGTCTCATCCAGAGGATGCCGAGGTACGTGCACGGTGCACCGAGACCAAACAAGATCAATTCTGACAGAACAGAATTGCTCTGTTTCGTGTCCTGTTTCCGTTTCCTCTGTTCTAACCGAGTCGGGACGAAAATTTGGAAAACTGCAGGTGCAGACACGGATACTTCCATGTCGTGAACAACGACTACACCCACTGGGAGATGTACGCTATCGGCGGAAGCGCGAACCCGACGATCAACAGCCAGGGCAACCGATATGCCGCCCCGGCCAACCGTTTCCCCAAAGAGGGGACAAAGAGATGGAACTGGAGATCGGAAGGAGACTTGCTTGTGAACGGCGCTTACTTCACACCCTCCGGAGCCGGAGCTTCCGGAAGCTACGCACGTGCCTCGAGCCTCGCTGCCAAGTCCTCGTCGATGGTCGGAACCATCACTAGCGATGCAGGTGCTCTCCCTTGCCGCAAAGGCCGTCGCTGCTCCTCATAGTCTTCTGTTTCACAGCATTCCGACAAAAGTGTACATTTCCACACGTTTTGTCATTGATACCACTTCCCCCTTCAAGCCTTATCACAATCCCCAAGCCATTGTTTTTTTGTTCTTTTTTATATTCCTCGTTCAACCTCGGGTTTGCTTCGGCCGCAAGTAACACAGAATCAACTTCATGGGAGCAAAAAAAAAAAAAAAAAAAAAAAACCTGAAGTGTTGTTGGCTCTGTCTCGTTCTGTTTTTTCAAGATTTCTGCAGTTTCAGGATCAGCCGAAAGAAGAAAACCTCTGGAAAAAAAAACACACGAAGAAATTAATGATGTCCGAATGATTTGCGGATTTTTTTTCTTCTAATTTTGTGGTTATGATTTTGGACATAGAGGAAAGTATTGATTAGTAATGGGAATTAATATATACTTTACAATGTTATATTTACCCCTGCAATGCTATTTTACCTTATATTATTTTTTTCCCCCATCATTAGGCTATTTTAATTATGGTTACCAACCATCACCAATAATTATAAGATTGGGAATTGTCGGGTACTGCTATGACTTTATGCATCTTGTTTTATTATTACATACAATCATGAAATTGGTCCTTGGGTCCATAATATGGCTTTTTTATTATTATTTATAAACACTAGTATACGTGCATGCATGTTACAAGCCCTTTTCATATTCACCTACTCATGCCCTATCTATGATAAGCAACATTTTAGGCTTTATACGATCTAATCTATATGATTTAAGATTCCACTACAGATATGAAGCTAGCTCACCTCAATCAATTTTCAACGACAAAACAAGGCAAAGAAAAGGAAAGTAAAAAAGGAGATTAGTCAAAGTCTCCAGCTGTTCTAGAGGGTTTCAAGCCCAGCTCATGGGCCTGATTCGATGATATTGGGCTGGACCCACATGATTTCCATTTAGAGGTATTACGGGGGCAAATATGTCTGAACGGATTCGTCTTAAGTCTTAACTATAGATTATGTGAATTATAACTGAAAAAAATATCATATACATATGGTCTTAGTTATGATTTGTTTTTTATACATATATATATATTATATACACATGCACACAAGAACCTGATAGTATCTGATACTCATACACCCATGAATGACAAATTGATATACTTCATTAAATGCCCATTTATTGTGGTTTTTTTTTTTAATATAATATCAAAAAATACAGAGAATCTAAACAACCAAGCGTTATATAACACAAAGAACTCAAACCCTTTACACATATCCATCTTAAAAAGTTTTCGGACCAAACCTTAGAGAGTACTTAGAAAACAAAACATGATCAAAACGACGAATTCCACAAGAGTCTCCGCGGCTCTCACGATCATCCTTCTCCTCGCGGGTTCGGACCACGCGTTCAAGATTTGGCCCGACACTTACGTCACGATCACCGACGACGTCGCTGGAGGCGTGGCCCTGACCGTGCACTGCAAGTCCAGGGACGACGATCTCGGGACACACGTTCTGCAGTCGTGGAAATCCACACTCTTCTACTGCAGGTTTGCATGGACGAAAGAGGTCAGATGGTTCGATATATACGTGTCGTCGAGAGATCAAGATGAGTGCACCAAGTGCAATTGGTCTATCAGAGCAGACGGTCCGTGCAGGATCGGGAAAGGTGGCAAGTGTTATCAATGGAACAAGTCTGCAAGTTTACAAACTTTGAAATATTAAGTGTTACATATAATTTAACCCCAAAAAAAAAAAATTGAAAGATCGAATAATAAAAAAAAGATTTTGTGTGGCATTCACTGTATATTGGGTTACATGAGGATTGAACATTTCGGTTTATATTCAAAACCAAAAATCGGTTAAAATTACTCTTTTTTAAACCCGGTTAGTGAATATGTGTAGCAGTAAATGCGTTGACTCATGTAAGGACGAAATCTCATTATAAGCACACATTAGGTACAGTCTTCGCCCAATTCATGTATATGGATGATGACGTGGCATTCTTGGCCACATGAGTCATTACATATATAGTATACTATATGATTTTTCCGTTATGTTTGTTCATATAGTCAACATATCTGACAAAGTTCCCGCAATAAAATAGTAAAATAAAATCATATATATACTCTTAATTCTTAAAATACCATACAAATATTACTCCACGCCCAAAATCAGAAATAACATGAATATTTACATGCATGAAGACCGTCTTCTCACATTCATATTGTTTCTGTTAATGTTTTTTTTGTTGGAATCTAATGAATAAATGATAAAATATAAACAACCAAACGTTATATATATATATAACACAAAGTACTCGAACCCTTCTCACATATCCATCTTTGAAAACCTCGGACCAATAACCTTAAGAGTACTTGAAAAAACAAAAACATGATGGAGGCGACAAATTCCCTGGGAGTCTCCGCGGCTCTCACGATCATCCTTCTGCTCGCGGGTTCGGACCACGCGTTCCAGTTTTGGCCCGACACTTACGTGACGATCACCGACGATATCGCTCGGGGCGTGGCCCTGACGGTGCACTGCAAGTCCAAGGAGGACGATCTCGGGGCGCACGTCCTGCGGTTCGGGGAACGGTACTGGTTCAAATTCCAAACCAACTGGTGGAAATCCACTCTCTTCTTCTGCAGGTTCGCGTGGAGGGAGGAGGCTAGATGGTTCGATATATTCGTGGCGTCGAGAGATCAAGACACGTGCACCAAGTGCAATTGGTCCATCAGAGCAGACGGTCCATGCAGGATCGGGAAAGGTGGTAAGTGTTATCCATGGAACAAGTCCGCAAGCTTAGAAACTTTGAAATACTAAGTGTTATAGTGTGTTGAAAAATATATGGTATAAGATCCACTATAATAATAAAAAAGGGTATTTGTGTGGCGTGGAATTTCATTATTTCCATCTTGAAATTGTTTTTTTTAATTACTGTAATATGGGGGTTGAATATTTCGGTTTATATTCAAAACCAAAAACCGGTTAAATTACTCTTTTTTAAACTCAAGGAATAGAAACCGGTTAGTGAATATGTCTAACAGTAACTGTGTTGACTGATGTAATGATCAAATCTCTTTTTTTCCCCTCATTCAACGCCCCCCCCCCCCCCAAAAAAAAAAAAAAAAAAAAAAATAATAAAACCCCGTTTTTCGGCAATATCTAGCAAAGACATCAGCACTTAGAACACCTGCCCAGGACATAGGATATAAAGTTATAAACACCAAAGCATGAAAACTGGGAATACCCATCACAAAAAGCCACAATAAGAAACCCCCCCCCCCCCCCCAAAAAAAAAGAAACAAAATAAATATATGAAGACTCGTTATTTCTTTTTATTTTATTTTATTTTGTATGGTATCAAATATAGAATGAGGTTGCTATATATACTAAATATATGACAAAATAGTAGTAAATGGACTATATATACAACCAATTTGTTTTTATATTTTTTAACGTTTGTTGCGATTACAACGATTACGATTGGACCAGTTACTTTTCTAATAGTTGGCAATCACCAGAAGTCGTTATTATTGCGTTTGCGGGCAATCGTGTTACCACTAGACAGGTTCATTTTATTCCAACAAAAAAAAGCATTAATAGAAACAATATGAATGTGCAGAGAATGGCCTTCATGCATGTAAGTATTTATGTACCCAACAGTTTGTGGGCGAGTGATCAACAACTGGGTATAAAACACTTAGAGGTTGGCGGTTCGGTTCCTGGTTGGGGAGGGGTTTTCATATGGGCTGCCCCGGTCCTCTGTGAGATATAGTTGAGTCAAAGGTCCGGTGAGCTTTCAGATTATAAAAAAAAAATATTTATGTTATTTTTTATTTTGGTTGTTAATTAGCGCAAAATGATCTCTCTATACTAAATTAGAATAAAATATAACAATAGTAAAAATAAATATATTCTTAATAAAATTCAACAACTAAACAATCATATAATCATTACTCCACACCCAAAATCAGAAATAACATAAACATTTGCATGGAAATATATTCACACATTCTTATTGTTTTCTGTTAATACTTTTTTGGGTTGGAATCAAGTGAGTAAACTTCTCTCTATACTAAATGTAAATGTAAAATAAAATATAACAATAGTAAAAATAAAATATATTCTTAATAAAACTCAACAACTAAACAATCATATATAATCACTACTCAACACCCAAAATCAGAAATATCATAAACATTTGCATGGAAATATATTCACACATTCCTATTGTTTCTGTTAATACTTTTTTGGGTTGGAATCAAATGAGTAAACTTCTCTCTATACTAAATGTAAATGTAAAATAAAATATAACAATAGTAAAAATAAAATATATTCTTAATAAAACTCAACAACTAAACATTCATATAATCACTATTCAACATCCAAAATCAGAAATAGCATAAACATATGTATAGAAATATATTCACATATTCGTATTGTTTCTGTTAATACTTTTTTGGGTTGGAATCAAATGAGTAAACTTCTCTCTATACTAAATATAAAATAAAATATAACTAAATTCTTTGCACACCAAACTAAACTCCTATATATATATATATATATAAATAAAGGGCTCGTTTCATTTCGTACAAACCACAAAAAAGTAAAAAAAAAAATAATGGGGACAAATTCAACGAGAGTAATTTATGGGATAGTACTGTTCTTGTTCCTCGTGTTATTTATAAACCCGAGCCAAGGCGGCGTGGGCGGGTTCTGGTCGCACACTCGCGTCACTATCACCAACTTCGTCCGGGAGGACGGACCGGTGACCGTACACTGCAAGTCCAAAGACGACGACTTGGGCCCACACACGTTGAAGTTCATGGAAGCTTGGAGCTTCCGGTTCAGACCAAATTTCTGGAGGACGACCCTCTTCTTCTGCGGCTTCCGACAGGGCGGCGGCGAGTTGAAATGGTTCGATATTTACGTCATGAAAAGAGATGCGAACCTATGTACTCACTGTAGATGGTCCATAATTCCTACCGGTCTATGTCGGCTCGGGAAACAGAGTCAGTGCTATCCCTGGAACAATTAATCATGCCAAAATTAGAAAGTCTTTTTTTTAAATAAAATAAAATGTTCTTGTTTAATATTTATTGCAAAGATCGCAAGTCTTTTTTATTTTTTAAATTATAAATTCAGTATTTGTTGCATCTCTCTCTCTCTCTGTACAAATATTTCTCCTCTGTACAAAAAATCAATATTTTCCGAGGCAAACGTTAAAGCTCCTCACGGCGGCGGAATATCGGAGCAGGTGGTGGAGACGATGACTTTTCCGGCACGTTCGCCGGATTCTATGAGCATCAGCACCACTTCCCTCATCGTGGGTCTGTCCGATGGCGACGGATTCGTGCATAGAACGGCGATTTTCGTCACCGTGATCATATGCTCGATGATTGTATCCTCCTCTAGCTTCATCAGCCGGGGATCGAGAATCTCCGGCTTCAAGGAACGATTCCTGATTTGGGTCCGTACCCACGTCGCGAGATCGCCGCCTTGATCCAGAGGTTGAACCGGGACTTTCCCCGTTAACAGCTCGAGAAGAACGACCCCGAAGCTGTAGATATCGCATTTCTCCGTTACTTTCATCGTGTATGCATACTCTGCATTCATGGCGTTGAACCAGATCAGCGAAAATGGTTTTCACTTGCGAAAAAAAGGTTTTTCTGGAATTCGAAATATGTATTTACCGGGAGCGATGTAGCCGTAGGATCCAGCGACGGCTGAGACGGATTTAGACTGAGGCATGTCGATGACTTTGGCCAACCCGAAATCTCCGACATGAGCTTCGAAGTTCTCGTCGAGAAGGATGTTATTGGACTTGATGTCTCGATGGATGATCCTGGGCTTGCAGTCATGGTGCAAGTAAGCGAGCCCTTCGGCCGCTCCGAGAGCGATCCCGAACCGGGTTGGCCAGTCCAAGTTACTGGACTTGCCGCCATGAAGCAATTCGCCTAAGCTTCCACGAGCCATGAACTCGTAGAGGAGGAGGTTCGAGTTCGAACCCTGATGGTAACAGAAGCCGTAGAGCCTAACGATGTTCCTGTGGCGAATCTTCCCGAGAGTGAGGATCTCTGTCCGGAAACTGTTGTCGCTGTTGTTGCCTTCTCTGTTGGATTCAAGCTTTTTCACCGCTATCGTTTTCCCCGAAGGCATCACTGCTTTGTACACAGTTCCACAAGCACCTTTGCCTATGACGTAACTTTCGTCGAAGCCTTTCGTCACGTCCAAGATGTCTTGGACGGTGAATCGCTCCTTCGGGAGAAAGTAAATGTCGGATTCTTGGAAGAAGGGTTCTTTGTCGTGCAGACAAGGAGCCGTTTCCACTGATGTTCTCAGGAAATGGACAATGATGGCTATTAGGACGAGGGAGATACTGCCGATGATGCCAGACACGATGACTATGATCCCTCCACGACGAGCAGATTCTGATTTTAGAGACGGAAGCGTAAGGGAAGACAGGTTTGAGTCACAGCTCCTCAAATGGCCGCCGCATAGACCTCTGTTTCCTGTGAAGCTGTCGGGAGTCATGTTTTGGAAGAGAGGTATAGATGGCAATGGTCCTGTAAGGTTGTTATAGGAGAAGTTGCATCCGAGTAAGCTCGAGAGATTCTCGAACGTAGCAGGGATCTCACCGCTCAGATGATTGTTGTTGAGGAAGAGGAACTCGAGCAGATAAAGATTCCCGAGTTCTGGCGGTATTTCGCTGCTGAGATCGTTGTAGCTTAGGTTCATTGCTATCTGTAAACTCGAGAGCAAACCCAACTCAGGCGGTATACTTCCCGAAAACAAGTTCCCTCCCATCTGAAGCTCGGTTAGATGCGTGAGGTTTCCCATGGCAGACGGTATATTTCCCGAGAATCTATTCTCGGAGAGTCTGAGAATCTCTAGCTGATGAAGGGTTCCGAGCTCATCAGGTAAAGAACCCACGAATCTGTTCCGGCTCAGGTCAAGTCTTTGAAGCATCTTGCAGTTAGCAATGGCAGACGGGATTGGCCCCGTAAGAGAGTTTGAGGAAACGTTAAAGGTCACCAGATTAGAAAGATCACCGATTTCTTCGGGCAGCTCAGATGAAAACTGGTTAGCTGCAAGGTGAAGCCTTTGCAACTTCTTGCACGTACCAATCTCAGGAGGAAATGGTCCATTAAACCTGTTCTGGTCCAACTCTACAGCCGAAAGATTAGCGAGCTTACACAACTCTGTCGGGAATTGACCTGTAAGCCTGTTCCCGACGACACGAAGCTGAACCAGAGATTTGCAGCTCAATAAACCGGGCGGCAAATTTCCGAAAAAGCGGTTAGACCCGAGATTCATCAGGATGAGATTAGATTGTTGACAAAGAAAAGGCGGTATCTTCCCCGAAAGCTGGTTATCCGAGAAATCAACCACCCATAAAGGACTGTAAAAACCGAGACTTTGAGGAATTATACCGGTGAGGGAGTTGTGGAAAAGCTGAAGCTGGCGCATGGAAGTAAGGTTCTGGAAACCTGACGGGATTGGACCGGTGAGCGAATTGATGGAGAGATCAAGCTTTGCCAAGTTCCTCAAGCTGCTAAGTTCGTTCGGTATGGTCCCACTCAACTGATTCTGAAACAAGTAAAGAAGCCTTAACCCGCTGATCTTGCTTAGCTCGATCGGTATCTCACCCGTCAAGTAATTCTCCGAGAAGTCGATCTCTGAAGCTCTTGATAGATTACCGATCTCCCTCGGGATGGTTCCGTTCAACTCGTTTTGATACAGGTAAAGCTTCTTCAAGGATTTCATGTTACCGATCTCTGCAGGTATCTGCCCGACAAACGAGTTATCGTACAGAGCAAGAATCTCGATATCGGTACAGTTCCCGATCTCTTTCGGGATCAACCCTGAAAACTTGTTCTGCCACAGAATAACCTCCTGAAGTTTCACGAGCAACCCGATTTCCTTTGGCAGCTCTCCCGAGATGAGGTTTTGCGCAAGTCCAAGCAACTTCAGGTTATGGCATCGACCGATTTCAGCAGGGAGATTGCCCGAAAACGCGTTCTGTCCCGCTCGTAGAGACGTCAAGTTCTTGAGATTTCCAATAGAACGAGGCAACGGACCTGTCAAGTTGTTAGAGTAAGCCACAAACTCCTCCAAGTTGTACAGATTCCCAATCTCTTCAGGCAAAGGACCTGACAACTTGTTATTACAAATGTTCAAGCTTCTCAAACTGGACAGCCTCCCAATCCCGACATGAACAGACCCACTGAAGTGGTTATTGTTCAGAAACAGAAACTGGAGCTTCGAGCAATTCCCGATCTCGAAAGGAATGTCGCCCGTCAATCCGTTATACGCGAGGTTCAGGTATTCCAAGTTAACCAAACCGCCGATGCTTGGACTCAACGTTCCAGACAGATTCATAGAGCTCAAATCAAGAGATGTTACCACTGAGATACCGCTGATAATGCTGCATTTTACGCCTACCCAACTACAAGGCGTATCGTCTGTACCGTTCCAATCGTATAAACGGTTGAACTGATCGACTAAGCCTCGGTTCTTCACTTCCACTAGCAACTGGCCCTCGAGACTCAGACAATCTGAGTTCACTACAAGAACTGCCAACAAGACCACAACTCTGAAAAGCATCGATCTTGATCCTCTTCTGAACTCTGGGTGCCAACCCATTTTCCGGACAGGAATCCTCTCCCCAAGTGATTCTTCAGTGACAATTCAGCGCCTGCAAAAAACCCAAAAGGTTCCCTCTTTTCTTATTCACAAAGGTTTTCGCAAGACTACGAACACGAGTTGTACGGACTGGTCCCGGATCCAGGATTCTGGTTACAGATATTCCACGGCATACAGAATAAGAAAGATTCAGATTTGAAAAATCAAATCTGACAGAAATACGGAGAGATTCAGTATTCGAACATGGAACAAACAAAGGAAAAACACAATGTTTATCATTGAAGGAAAAGTCCAAGGAGAAGAGAACAAGAACTCGAGAAGTATACCACTGGGAACGCAGCCATCGAGCAGAACACCATAAGACCCATAAATTTTCTCGGCGTTCGAAGCTACAGCAACAAAAAAAAATGAAAACTTGAATCAAATTTGAAATTCTCACCAAATGAAGAACAATAAGCCATTGGATTTAGATGAGAAGGAGACTTGCCTCTTCGTTTAGCAACTTGAATACTGCTCTTTTTCTCTCCGATTCCTCGACAATTACAGTGTTTCCCGAGAAAATGAAACCCAAAAACCAAAAAAAGATTCTTTTTTTCTTCTTCTTCTCTGGAATCAACAGCAACCCTTGTCGCTGTAGAATCAATCAGAACCAGAAAACAGAAAAAAGTGAAAAAGGGTATTAAAAATCCGACTTTTTTTGTTCCGCGATCCCAAGAACCAAACGGAAGGAGAAAAGGGAGAGATAGATAATAGCTATTGGTGAGAATCTGAGTAGTGTATATTCCAATATGAGTTATGGAAAGGATAAGCAAGTTTTGCTTTGGCTTGAAGCTCTAATGGCCGACAAGCATGCTCTCTCTCTCTCTCTCTTGCATTAGTGAAAACAGTTCTCTCTCTCTCTAAGGAGATTGTTGGTTTTCGGATTTTTATTTGTGAGAGAAAAAAAAGAATTTCGCTTTGCCCTTTTTCTTCAGTGCGATGATAACAATTTTCTAATTGAAAGGAAGATATGGAAAAGTAGAAAGTGGGGAGCTTTTCTTGGCCATGGAAAGTGAGAGACTTTATTTTTCATTTTTTTTTTTCCCTAAGAAAATCTTTTCCCATAAAAGTTTTGGGATTTACCGATTGGGACAACTTGGACAATACTTTTTTTTTTTCAACTTCTTGGAAATAATAATAATAATAATAGTTGAATTTTTTTTTATATAATCCAAAGCTCCTAGATTTAAAATCGGACCGACGGTGGTGGCCAACGACGTTTAAGGACAATTTGACACTGATTGTGGGCCCCATGAAGACCGTCAATACAAAATCTCATGTGACCTTCTTTGATGGGAATAATAAAATATATTTATAACCCTCTTCTAAAAATAATTTTTAATTTATAAAAACAGTTAATGATCGCAATATATTTTTTGTTTTCTAAAATCCAAAAACTAAATCTAAATCTAAAAAATAAAATTGCCTGTAGTTCAGTTATTATTAGAAAAAGCATCTGAACTAAAAAAAATATACGATTATTCTATTATATATATACTAATAATATTGAAATAGATATAGAATCGTGTGTGCATAAATTTAAAATACAAAATTATATAATTTTTTTTTAAAATATGCTAAAAGGGGTGTTGTGACACATCGGACGGTCCATGTTGCTTGACACGCGATCATCAAATTATAAAGAACAGAAAGTGTCTTTTTCCCAATTTTGATCTTTTTGAGCTCATTTAATAATCTAAGAAAATAACAAAACCCAAAGGCCAAAGATAAATACCAAATCATGATACAATGATTATTTTAAATTAATTATCAAAAGGAAAAAAATAATCTATACCAATGCGTTTGATCACATTTTTTAGGCTGTTGATAACTTTTGTGGTATTATAAATTTATAAATAGATATAAAAGTGATCAATGTGTTTGGGGTTGGTCCATGTCCACTTACTATAACTATATATATCAAAATAAATTAGGTGGTATTTGACATATTTAAATGTTTGGCCAATATGAGAAAAAAAGGAGGCACCATCATCATATCCATATTATCCATATGACTCAATTCTTTGATTTGAATGTGCCACTTTTGGTATGAAATTCGATAATACCTATCTCTGCTTTGCCTAACAAAATCTTATAATACCAAACCTTATCTCATTGATTATTATTATTATTATTATTTGTTTTACATAATAAAAACACATTATAGATTAAAATTCTACACGTGATGAAAAATTTGTTAGAAAACTTTACGAATGGATTTATTGACAACTGTATTAATATATAATTAAATTAAACTTTTCCATAAACTTTTAATGCACCATTTTTTTTTTAAAAAAAACTTACCATTATTATAAAATATCTATATCCTCAAATATCATTACCCTAAAATAATTTTCTTTTATCTTGTCATCTAACATTATAAGAAATCTACTATAAAAAAACGTAAAAGGAAACTAAAATAATGCCAATCATGCATCAATCCCAATATAACACGCTCCCATCGCTTCCGGCGAAGGCTCTTCCATTATATTATATTATATTATATTATATATATATATATATATATGTATATAGTTATTTTTTTTTCAGTACACGAGTCCAACGATTACGTAGAGTCAATCAGTCTCTTATATTTTATAATAATACCATTAATTAATAATAAAGTTAAATATTTGATAAATACGAAGTCGGAGACTTCTTGGAACTAGAAGCTTGGCGGTTGCAGATCTGCAAAACCTCAGGACTCAACAGACGTCAATAAGTTATAAATATTTTTTTCAATATCTCATCACAAATTTGTTTTTTCTTACCATCTTTCGGATCCTGTTTGGCAGCTTATATATATATACACACATATATATTATAAATAATAAATATATGTATTTATATGAGTATAATGTTAAAATGTAAGACCACACCAGGAAAAATTACAGTGTGAGAAGGAGAGATCTCCAGCCTAGTGGTTAGTGACAACTCCCCTCTATCAAGAGGTTGTGGATTCGAAACCCAGGTATGAAAACTCTCCTTGAACCGATCAGTTTTACGAGGTTGGTTTACCTGCTCTGTGTGGTTTGCCGGCTACTGCGTAGGGCGGTAGGTTTTCTCAGGTCCGCGATGCTGTCCTGATGTCGTTCTCGTCCGATCTATGGATTGAAAGACGTTGCGGTGTCTGGTTTTAGGATAGGGTTCCATCGGAAAAAAAAAAAAAATTACAGTGCGAGGGTGAAGAATGATATGAACGAAAGGTCAATTTGGGAGAAGTAGGGCCCACAATGGTGAGAGAGTGGCTAATGGGGGCCCATACTTACAGAGATGTAAACCCATTTCCCCATTTTTCTCCCGCGTTGACTTTTCATGACCAGTTGACTTTTTCTTCACGAATCAATTCCACAACAGAATCAGTGTTGGCTTTGGACTTTGTTCGAAGATCAAAGCAGAGTTCAGTTCAAATCATCTGTCTGCGGCCGAGGTGAAGCAATCAACTTAAAGAAAACTGTATCGAAACCGGATTTAACAGAAGAAAAAGGATAAGGGTTTTTTGTTGAACATATCTAACCATGTTTCAGTGAATGTAAGAGATTCTGTTACATTCAGAAGCAATGTACATGCTCAAGACCAGATGAAATTCTACTCTGACATAAACAATGGGGGCATTACATTAAAGATGAAGACTTTCTGTACAGGACAAGATCCAGATCCATATCCAGATCTGCACTGAGCTACACAGCTTTCTAGAGAATCAAAGAACCTGCAAATTCGTCTGATAAAATAAAAAAATGATTCAAAAAAAGAAGATCCCGGCTCATCTTTCTCGCCATAGTGATATTCAGGGTAGCAGTTTGGTGCTTTTATTGTTGTGTGTTGGATTCGAACTGCTTGCTGGTGCCGTCTTCAGACCAGCCTCCACTTTCTTCCGGGCATCTTCAGCGCCGCCTCTGACAGAACCTTGTGTCTCAGAAGCTAGGAAAGCAACATAAACCAATGTCTTCCTGTGTCGATACCCTCCAATCATCCGGCTCTCGCAATGGTGACAAGCTTGAAGAGACAACATTAGAACCTGAAAAATCAGCAAGGCAAAGGGAACAGCCAAAGCTCTGCTCTTGCCTCCCATGAGTACTGACTTATCTATCTACTTGAGAGTTGAGAAAAGAACAGAACTACAGAGGACTCTTTCTTTTGTGGGTAGATCTTACATTTCAATACCATAGTTAACTGAAATACTTAACTCCTCTCGAAACTGGATTAGTGGGATGACACACCTCTCCATGTGGGTATCAGTTGCTTGGTTTCTATAGTCAAATACAATAAGGCAACTTAGCACGAGTTACTTCCTAATCCATCACATGTTCTAAGCATTCAGACAACAATAGCTGGCTTGTGAGGACAGACCAGATATGTCAGAGTTTACACAGATCTGAAAGGTCTCTTATAAGATAGCTATTATGTTCCTCAGAGATCCAAAGAACAATCAGCACAAAGAACTTGGATTATGGCAGCGTGGTAATTCAATACTACAAGCATATTCACATTTTATATACAGTTTCAGTAGAAGCGATCCAAGAACACGGTTCAAGCAAAGATTGTGTAGGGACTGCTCAAGATTAAGACCTTGGTCAAACCAGATCATTGCATCAGACTTACAAATTTACTTTGTCAATGCACCTCTAGAATCCACCTCTGGTATTAAGAGAACAGGGTAAAGTCCTATATCTAACTCTTAAGAGAGATTAACATGTTCCTTTTTTAATTATGTTTCGGTAAAAAGTATAATCTACAACTAAAGCTAATTTATACACTAACATAAGCATTGATTCGATCTCATGCGCAAGATAAGCGACAAAAAACAAGAATCTTTCACATATGTTACGAAAACACAGAAACAAGTACAACACTTCACAAACATCTTGGTCAGAAGAGTGACTTAACTATTCCCTCTGCAGGTTATCCAGCAATATTGAAGGACTATCTTTCCACATAACTTCATCATAATCAAACAGTTTAGCAAAACGAGAGACTAGCTGCTCATGAATTACTTCATCGGCAGGAAGCACGGTACCTGTCTCCCTTCTTAGAGATGTCACCTCTTTATCAGCAATGCCACAAGGCACAATGTGCTTAAAATAACTCAAATCGGGATTGATGTTGAAGGCCAAACCATGAGATGTGATCCCATAAGATATCCGAACCCCAATGGCACCGATCTTTTGGTCCCCGACCCAAACCCCTGTCTCTCCCTTATGTCCTGCACGAGCTTTCACACCATAGATAGATGCCAACTCAATCATAGAGGACTCCAATCTCTCTACATAACTCCTAGCACCGATTCCCATATCACGTAAGGAAATGATAGGATATAAGATGGCTTGACTAGGGCCATGGAAGGTGATATCTCCTCCCCTCTGGGTATAATGAAGTTCAGCTCCAATCTTTGTGAGTTCAGATTCAGGGATCAACAGATTGTGATCTGTTCGACGTTTTCCGAGAGTATAAGTTGGTGGGTGTTGAAGTGAGAGCAAGGTATCTGGAATTCGATGAGCTTTTCTCTCGGTGACTAGCCTCTCCTGAAGTTTAAGTGATTCTACATAGTTGACAGAGCCTAGCTTCCAGACCTCCAGGATTCTTGGAATTCTCATTCCCTGCACATTTATGACAGAATTTGTATTGTATGCCCAGTTTCTCATTTCAATCCAACATAAACAACAAGTCCAATTCATCAGACCTTTGGCATGATCCAGCCCCTAGATCGAAATGGCTATTGTACACGATACATGAATTGGTTTTTCTATTCATAAAGATCGAGTCACTGTCCCAAAGGAACAACTATCTGCATTAGGACAGAAGTCTCGTTTAAAATCCTGATGTTATAAAGTTTTTTAAATCAAGGGAACAAAAAGGTAAGATCAAAATCGGAGGACCCATGATGGAAATTCCGAAGAATCTGAGTGTGGGGTGACAATTCACAGAGAGTAACTCTCTCTGAGGCATTTCATCAAATACTTGCCCGAAAAAATATATGATGCGATTCCGAGCAGATACAATAAAACCCATTGAAATAATAGCGACAAGCAACATGTGAAGTGAAGTCAAGCTATCTCATTTTCCAACTTCTCTGAAATTATGTTACCGAACTATGCCTACTAGCACTCAACCGTCGTTATAGCGAAAAATGTACATAAATTCCAGAGGAGTCCGCACTCGTGGGACAACATTGCGAAACCGGTCTAGTAATTGGACACAGAAATCATGAAAAGACAAATACCTTCTCGCCTCCAATTGATCTGACCTTGCCGTCAGCAGCTGGACTGTGGATCCTCTGAAACTCAGCGGAAAAATTGAACTTGCTCCCATCTGCATACTCCACCTCCACCTTAAACAACAGACAACACATCAGATTCCAACGATATCCCAAAAATCACCACAAAAAAAAAAACATGGGTTCTTGTTTGGGATTCAGAAATCTGTATTAGTTTTCGCAGATTATGTAACTTAGCTTTATAGCTCTAAGCACAAATCGTCATGCGCTTCAGTAAATACTAAAATCTATCCGCACAGAATCAACACAATCAAATCAATAGATTGGAGCAGCAGATAAACAATCCCCAGAATCCAACACCTGAATAAACGCCGAACAGGAAAGCTAGACAAAAATTGGATTCCTCGAATCCAGAAAACAGAAAAAGGATGCGAACAAAATGGGAGGATAAAATCTATCAGTTTGTTAGCTAATTCGTCACGAAATACGATCAATTACATAACTAATCCAACAAATAAGCCAAAAATAACAACGAAATGCAGAAAACTGAAGCATGAGAAGCCGATGTAGAAGAGAAAGGGGGGAAAGGTTAAAAGGGACAAAACTCCCAACAAATAGAAAGGAAACTTACGTTCTTGGGAGACACTACAGAGAAGCTTGAGAGTTTTGGAACAGTAACATCAACTGTTCCATGGATTCTCCTGAAAATTGCCCTCTGAATCGCCCACATTTCTTCTCCGGCAATCACCGGGCGAAGAAGACGAGATTTCGAGCCTGGACGAATCGTTTTGGGCCATTTTTCGATCTCAAAGCTAACGAACTCGAAGTGTTTTGGGCTGGGCTTTTGTACAGATTATGTTTCTTCTCGATGACTGAAACGACGACGTAGCAAACACGTGGGATGACGTGGAAGAGCAAAGTGACAGCGAAAACAAAACTGAAGTTACTCGGGTCATGGCTTTAAGCGAAAACAAAACTGAAGTTACTTAAAGCGGGGCATTATCAAAAATATCCTTACTTTGCTATTTTTATTTCAAGACCTACCCTTATGATCATGTGATCAATGTAATCGAAATATAGTATGGTCACATATTGATCTCATTGTTCATAACATTAAATTTATGATGTTTTAATCAAATAATTAGTAAGATATACAAGGTATGAACATAATGAATTAGTGTGATCACCATAAATTTAATGTTATAATCGATAAAATCAAAATGTGACCATACTATATTTCGGTCACATTGGTCACATGGTCACAAGAGTAGGTCTTGAAATAGAAATAGCAAAGTAAGGATATTTTTGATATAATGTCACTTAAATCACTTGGTAAAGAATTAGGATGATTGAAATAGACACGCAAGGCATCCGAATCTTTCTTTCTTTTTTTTTTTTTTGTTCGGCTTTCACACGCACATATATGATATATATACTCCATAATAAATGTATATTTACCAAAACTTTATATTATGTTTAAAATTTCTTAGCATGTTTATTATGGTATTCAATAGATATATATTATACATGGAATGACACGACAGTCAATTTTGTACATTAGACTTGACATGTTTACAACCTGACATTCTGTTATTTTCTTTGTATTTAGAGTGTAAAATATGTCTGTTCCACATTACTTTAAAAGAACAATTAAGAATGTGAAACACCGTATTACTGGATATAAATTTTTGACGTTTAAATACTCAAATACAAAACTTTCGTATTTATTAATTATGGAAAGAAGCAACAACCACAGAATCTCAACAAAATCGAATTAGGGCTTCCGACTGTTCCGATCAGAAACCCATGCCTCCCATGCCGCCGCCCATGCCACCTCCCATGCCCGGAGAAACTTCCTTCTCTTCCTTTGGAATTTCAGACACGACAGCTTCAGTTGTCGTCAACAAAGACGAGACACTGCACGCAGAATGGTAAACGCAACCGTTTAGCGAAAACCCGAACCCGAAAACGAGACAAAGAACATGGGGAAAGAACGAATTCGTAAGCTTTGTGTGTGTATATATATACCTTGCAGCGTCCACCAGTGCGGTTCTGATCACTTTCAATGGATCAATGATACCAGACTTCACCATATCAACGTATTCGCCTTTTCACATAGAAAAACAACAAAATAAACTTCCAGTTCAGTTCAGTAGAGGTGAATCGTAGAGCAGAGAAAGGGGAACATATATATATATACACAACGAGAAAGTAAAAAACTGACCTTTAGCAGCGTCGTATCCGAGGTCGGGATTGTCTTGCTCCAAAAGCTTACCTATGATAACCGCACCCTCGACTCCGGCATTCGAGGCTATAGTATAAACAGGTGTCTGCACCAAAGTCAGATTATGTGTCAAATGCTTTGCTAGAGCTGGTGTTCAGGTGATGAAAGAATCATGATATATATATATACACAGACACATACAACCTTGAGAGCGTTTTGAATGATCTGGACACCGATTTTCTGATCGAAATTGGCAGTAGGAAGCGTGTCGAGTTCTTTCGAGGCATACAAAAGAGCAACCCCACCGCCTGTACACGCGAAAAAACTCTGTATGAGAATATTGTTTGATTAGACGAGGATTTTCACGGGTTTTTCCCGGGATTTAGATCAATTTACCTGGAACGATACCCTCTTCTACGGCTGCTTTGGTGGCATTCAAAGCATCGGTTACTCTATCTTTCTTCTCCCCAACTTCGGCCTCGCTTGCTCCTCCAATCTGTATATCAGTATATGCATATTTCGTCGTTGTTACAAGCATGTATAGAAGTCTCTTTGATATATCTTTCTCATTTAAGGTGCTCTAGTAATGGAATGGAATTGAAATTGAAGATATAGGACCTTTAGTACGGCAACTCCACCGGATAACTTAGCCAACCTCTCTTGAAGCTTTTCCTTGTCATAGTCTGATGTGCTCATTTCGATTGCTGACCGTATCTGTGTTATTTTCAAACATGTCAAAACCCGGTAGCCAAAGATAAATTGTAACTCTTATAAAAAAAAACAATAAATCGTAACACATTCTCCCGAATCGTATTTGATAACAAGTGAACCATCCATACTGACCTGTTCACATCGTTCAGTAATGGCAACCTTCTCTCCAGTTCCGTCTAGAATAACAGTGTCGTCCTTAGATACTGTCACCTACGCACCAAAAAGAACCGCTTGCAAAGTTATACACGATGGATAACAGAAATTTAAACTGGAAAAAACGAGAACAGGTGGTAATTTGGTCAAGCTCACCTTTTTGCAGTTGCCAAACATACCGAGGTCAACCTTATCCAGATTCAAACCGAGTTCCTCAGTAATAACCTATAACAAAAACGAAATCAACAAAAGCACCGTTATTATTCGTGCTGTGTAATGTGATTTTGCATCCACAAACAAAAAAAGAAGAGAACATATGCACTTACTTGGCCTCCGGTGAGGATAGCGAGATCTTGCAAATTGGCCTTACGGTTCTCTCCAAAACCAGGGGCCTTCACTGCACAAACCTATAACATGGTACCATCTCTCCATCAGCCCGAGAGTCTGAGATACATATATATAGCTTATCATGATGCCATAAATAAAGCAAATATAATAAGATGAAAAGTTTTAACCTTGATTCCAGCACGGAGTTTGTTCAAAATCAGGGTTGCAAGAGCATCGCTTTCCACATCCTCGGCAACAATCAACAGTGGCCTTTGCTTCTGAAAACACAGAAGAGAAGGGAAACCTCGATAATCAGGTACACAGTCAACGAGTGCATACTAGAGATCATCAACAACTGAAAACACAGGACGAGAATTGTTTTATACCTTGAGGGCTAATTCTAGAACTTTCACCATGGCATTTAAGTTGGATATCTTCTTCTCGTGGATCAAAATCAGGGGATCTTCTAGTTCCTACAAACGAAGAAATGCAGAATCCTTTTAATTCAAGAAAACCAAATAGTGAAGAGAATGAATCAATTCAACACAGATTTTTTATAAATCTATCAATCAACAAGCTGGAAATGCTTACACATTTTTGGGTTTTTTGGTTGGTGATGAAGTATGGGGAAATGTAGCCCCTATCAAGCTTCATACCCTCAACAACTTCGAGCTCATTGTACAAAGTCTTCCCATCCTGCATAAAGAGTGATATTATAAGATCAACCAATCAATCTCCCGAAACGTGATATGCATACAATCATGAAGTGAGTCGAAAACAATAAAATTTGTTTAGGCATTTAGGGTCAACTCACTTGAATCGTGATCACTCCCTCTTTCCCGACCATTTCCATTGCCTTGGCAATCAATTCGCCGATTTCTCTCTCTCCATTAGCTGATATTGTCCCCACCTGGGCAATTTCTTCGGATGTGCTAATCATACGTGCCATGCTCTTCAAGTTCGTTACGACAGCATCAACTGCCATTGAGATACCACGTCTTAGGTCCATCGCATTCATTCCAGCAGCAACTGATTTACACCCTTCGGCGAATATAGCTCGGGTAAGGACTGTTGCACACGTTGTTCCTGCAAATTACATTACACCGATGTCAGATAAAAAAGCAATAAACAACGAATGAATGGATGGGAAACTAAACAATTAAAAGTTGTCCTGGACTAAGTTTAGAAGTAGAATCCGGAGTTAATTTTTTGTCCATTACCAAGACAGTGAATGAAATTGCACAGAAAGTGAAGGCTACAACTATGATTACATTGCTTAGATTGGACTAACGGATAATGATCACCAGCACTACTGAACCCTAACGTGTCTTTTATGACTTTTACGGTTTTACCATTCATCAAAGACAGAACTTAGATATGAAAAGGAACCTTACCATCACCGGCTACATCATTTGTGGCATTAGCAACCTGTTTGACAAGACTGGCACCAATGTTCTTGACTCTGTCTTTGAACTCAATGCTCTTGGCAACTGTTACACCATCCTTTGTGACTTTGGGTGCACCCCAGCTTTGTTCAATTACCACAGTGCGACCCTTAAAAAGGAACAGAAAGAAGAACAAAATTTCTGGTCAAATTTATCCTTTCACACATTTTACATGAAACATTCATTTTTTTTTGGGAATCAACAATCCAGAAGTGAAGGGCAGAGTGCAAAAAAAAAAAACTATACTTTGGGTCCCATAGTGACTCTAACTGCATCTGCAAGCTCCTCCACACCCTTGAGCATCAGAGCCCTAGCCTCAACTCCAAACTTAATGTCTTTGGCCGCATAGTTTCTTCTAGAAGTGAGCCTACTTCCTATCTGACAACACAAAGCATACATATCAATATATATACCAACAACGACTACACCGATAAAAACCCACATAAAAGAATGGATGACAATCACCTGGTTTGCACTGTTCCTCGCAATCCTGTTGAAAAAGAGGAAGAGAGAGAGATAATACAGTCAGGAAATGGAGCGAAACAGGAGGAATCTATATTCAGCTGTTACGCAAAATCACGAAGAAGTCGTTCCTTAAATTCAATTCTTGCTGTTTCCGATAACCAAGCAATATTAAGGAGGAAGATCCAAAATTTCGCAGAGAAAACAGTAACCCGTCATGGTTAATCAGATTTCTGCTACCGAGTTGTGATTAAAACCGAAACTTTTGACACAGTAGTCATTCGTATAACTTCAGTTCCCACCATTTTCTCGGATCAAACAGAAAAATGATTCCAAAAAAGCAGAAATCGATCGCATTTCGCCAAAAAAGAATCCCCATAGCCCGAGTAGATCTACCTTGTTTTCGAAGCAAAGCTCGAGACAAACCGATACATGGCGACAAGTTCTGACTGGAGCAAACAAGGACACAATAAGATTAAAGAACCGAAGCTACGTTGACGACTTGACAACTCGGAGGTTTTGCAGGAGAAGGAAAAATAGTATCCTTTTCGGGACCCGAAGGTTCTAGAAGCCGCAACTTCAAAATCTCTCTGAGGGTTTAGGGTTTTTACTTCTCAAGCTCTTGCTTTTTCGTGGTGTTAGGTCGGGTTCGGATCCGGGCCTGAAGTTGACCCGGTTTATCGACAATTGGGCCTCATATGAATATGAGTTTTCTGGAAGTGCTGCCTAACAAAAAATGTTCGTTCGGTTTAAGATCCATTTCCGGTTATGTATGGTACACCGGTTAGAAGGTTAACCAGATCCCAATGGAAAATATCAACGACACAAATCAACAAGAACAGCAAGGTACTATTTACCGTCTCTCTCTCTCCCGCGCTTGTTCAGCCATGATTACTGTAATCTCGAAGCTTTCTCCACTTGCTCCGTTCGTCTCCATCGTTAATTCTTCTTCCTTACCTTCCAAAGGTGTGAACTTTCTCCTTCACTTGCTGTCTATCTTAGCTTTCTGTTCGCAAATCCTGTAGAGTTGGCTCTCGCTTTCTGTTCAAGGAGAGCTAGGTACTTTTAACCTTCCGAAGACAGTTGAAGTTTTGGAAGACCCAGTAATGTAAACGATTCCGGTTATTGTAAATTGGCTTAATCAATTTTGTGGTATCTTATGGTAATCAGATTCTGGAAGTTTTGGTTCATATCCACATATTAACTATTAAGAAATCAGAACATGTTGATTATGGCAATGAATCGATACTCTGGAGAATTGTGGTTGGTTTTGCCAGTACAGTGAAAACTTGATGGGTTTCTTTTTTGTCCCTTTAGTTGACTGGGGAGAGGATAATTTCTAATTATAAACCTTACCACTCAATCAAGAATTCATTATTTTTGGAGAAATTTTGGCTGTAAATCAGTCTCTTTGTCATATTAGATCCATTTTTGTTTCTCTTTGAGCAAGTGTTGTTTTCCAAACTATCACAACTTTGTTTCAGATGCGAGTAAAGAGCCAAGAGCAAAAATCAAGCTAAGAGGTGACTGGAGGGAAAAGTCGAAACCCATACCACCAGGAGGCACCTATCCAGCCAAAGATCATTGCAGGTCCTGTCTGTCTTTTTGTTCCATTTCTATTTGCTGTTCTGCTGTGGGCTTTTCTTCATGTTATCTGCTAATCCCGGAAAAAGGAAGACAAAAGTTTGGGCTTAATTCTTTTCTTGATTTCTGTTTTTGGGGAAAGCAGTCGATGCGGGTTATGTGATACATACTACATCGCCCATGTGAAGGAAGCGTGTGCATTTTTAGGAGAAGGGATGTCAAGAATTGAAGTAAGTCCAAGTTCTTGAGAATTTGGTTATTTCATCAGAGTAGCTTATAAAGCTCTTTTGGTAATAATAATTGTTATTTGAAGGTTGGAATTCAAGGTATTCCAGAAGGAGTGCATTACATAATAGTTAATCAATAAAATTGGTAATTTGTGGGTGAAATGGGTGAAATCCAGTATTTAAATTGGTACTTTGTTGGAATAATATGAGTGTGATTGCCGATTCTAAAGCTTTAACGTTGTGCGAAGTGTCCAGAGTCCACATTGTCTACTTGCTTTTCTGGGTTATCTTTGTATTTAGTTCATACATTGAAAATTTAAAACTGTAGACATTATCCTACTGATTTGCTTCTACGATTGAAAATCTGTCTTGTTATACTTACAATTTTCATTTAGAGCTTGGAACCTGTTGTGCATGGTCGAGGACGAAAAGCAGATTCCTTTGATGATACATATTTTGGGGTCCATCAGGAATTGCTATATGCACGTAAGGTCCAGCCTGTTGAAGGTATACCATCATTCCCTTCCATGACATCTAAAACGTCTGTCTTGGCCAGAAAATTAAAGTAACTTGCTGCCCAACCAACCGAGGAAGAAAGTTTGCTTTCTTTTGCATTTTTAAGATGGACTAAAGGGAAAGAGTCGACAGTTTGTAATTGATACGTATTTTGGATTGTAGAGAGAAGTGATATTAATGAGTTCAGTGTTCTTGTACTTTCCATTCGTTTCTTTGTGTATTGTTTCTTCAAAGGTTGCTTAAATAAGGTTGATACTCTCTTCAAATATTTCTTGATAGCATCGTCAAGTACTTCTCAGAAATCCTCTGAAATGGTTACATTCATTCTGATTTTCCGCTACCATCTGTTCTTCCGAAAGTTAATTTTTGGCTGGTTATGTTTTCAATGTACTATAGTAAACTGAGATGTTACAGCTATTTTTATCTGCTTTACATTTCTCTCTTCTGTGCAGGAGCACAGTGGACAGGGATAGTAACAACAATAGCCATTGAGATGTTGAAATCGAACATGGTAGAGGCTGTTATTTGTGTACAGAGGTAAAACTTCTGTATAATTTCAGAAACGGAACTGTCATATCTTCATTTTTTCATCTAATAAACAATGTTGATAATTTGTTAATATAACAGTGATCCTGAGGACAGATTGTCTCCAAGACCAGTATTAGCCAGGTTTGTGTCTTCCATCTGTTAATGGCTATTCTCATTATACCTTGATCCTGTCTGGATATTTACTTCCAGTCTTACCTGACCATAACTTTCTCTTGATGTTTCATATCTGTTGATTATAATGTCTAATAGGACGCCGGAGGAAGTCTTAGCTGCTAGAGGTGTCAAACCAACTCTCTCTCCTAATCTGAATACTCTTGCTCTAGTAGAGGTTCCTTCCTGACTTTGCTTTCTTATTGGCCTGTTTTTTTTATCATTAATTATGATTAAAAAATTGTAATTTAAATAAAAAACTGCTTAGAACTGAATAATATCTCTACCGTGTTCTCTGTTCATTAAGTTAAAATTTGCAACATGACAGGCTGCTGGAGTGAAACGTCTTCTTTTCTGCGGTGTGGGTTGCCAAGTCCAAGGTATGTTCCTTAACATTCTTCTGCAGGTTAATGCTTTGAGTTCTCTCTATCTTGTGACTTGTAATGTCGTAATGCAGAGTGATTTCTTATACTGCAGCGCTAAGATCAGTGGAGCACCATCTGAATCTCGAAAAGCTGTATGTACTAGGCACCAATTGCGGTAATACACTCACCCTATCTACATCTACTAATTATCCTCAACTTTGAAATTTTCTCTCTCTTTTGTTGGTTCAATTTGTAGGATTTACCACTCTTACACCCTCATTACCCTTAGTTTACTAGTTAACACTTCATTTTGATATGTGTCTGAGATTCCGCTTCACTCTCTCTCCTCATCAAGGAACGGGCATGGATATAATACTAGAAAATGGATCACCTGAATAAGAATGGCCTTACCGCAGATGTATGCAACAAACTGAATCATAAAAACAGATGTTGTTTGTTGCATGTAGTAAACATATAGTTTATGTGTTAGAGTCCCACATCTAAAATACATGGGGAAATTGAGTCCATATAAGGCCATAGACACCCTCTCCAGACTAGCCATTTGGGGTGAGTTCTACCCATGGTTTTTGGGACTTATTTGAGCCCATTATGGATGAGTGGATTCTACCAATTGGTATCAGAGCCAACCGATCCTCGTATATGCGGACGACGCGGCGGGAGAGAAAACGGTCGGGAGAGAAGCACAAAGGGTGCGTAGCCGCCAGCGACCGAGAAGTCGTCATCGATTGAGTAGCCTCTAGCGTCGTGGTCGCCGTTGTCTAAAGGGGGCGGTATTGTTAGAGTCCGACATCTGAAATATGTGGGGAAAATTGAGTCCATATAAAGCTATAGACACCCTCTCCCAACAAGCTAGCTTTTAGGGTGAGTTCTATCCATGAACTTTGGGACTTATTTGTGCCCATTATTGATGAGTGGGTTCTATCATTATGTCCTGTTTCTTATCACTGTGACAGTACACAAAAATTAGGATGATAGAACATTCTAGGTTTTTTCGTATATTTTTTTTGGATTGTGACCTCCTTTGTTTTTTGTTGAAATCTGATAGACAGTTGGGTGTTTGTTACGAGAAAAAGTATGCTTCATGTGAGATGTTCACTTTGATACTTCTCATAAGATCTCACTTCAGCTCGATACCGGTGATTTCTGGTCATTCCTATTGCATAGTTTTAATATCTACTAACTTTTTCATAAATAGTGGACAATGGAACACGAGAAGGACTGGATAAATTTCTAAAAGCAGCTAGTAAGGAGCCAGAGACTGTCCTACATTATGAATTTATGCAAGATTACAAGGTTACTACTAATTCTCTTTC